GATTCCTTGAGTTCTTCTGTTTATGTATCTACACCCGTGGGTGAATCTATTATTGTGGACCGCGTGTATCGGTCGTGTTTAATTGTTATCAGCGATTTTGAGACCAGAGCTAATTTATTATTGCTCAGTATGATGGATTTCGATATTATTTTGGGCATGGACTGGTTGTCTCCCTATCACGCTATTCTTGATTGTTACGCCAAGACGCTAACGTTGGCTATGCCAGGCCTACCGCGCCTAGAGTGGAGAAGGGGTGTGATGCACATATGGCCTATGTGAGAGATGTTAGTATTGATACTCCTACTATGGAGTCAGTTCCTGTAGTAATGGATTTTTCTGATGTATTTCCAGCAGATCTTCCGGGTATGCCACCCGACAGGGATATTGACTTTGGAATTGATTTACTACCGGGTACTCAGCCCATTTCTATTCCACCATATCGTATGGCTCCAGCAGAGTTGAAATAATTAAAAGAACAGTTACAGGAGTTGCTTGATAAGGGTTTCATTCGGCCCAGTGTATCGCCTTGAGGTGCTCCTGTCTTATTTGTGAAGAAGAAGGATGGTTCTATGCGGATGTGTATTGATTACCGCCAGCTGAACAAGGCTACACTGAAGAACAGGTATATATTGCCACGTATTGATGATTTATTTGATCAGCTTCAGGGTGCCAGAGTGTTCTCTAAGATCGACTTACATTCAGGCTATCATCAGTTGAAGATTCGGGAGCCAGATATCCCGAAGACTGCTTTCAGGACTCGGTACGGTCATTACGAGTTCCTTGTGATGTCTTTTGGGCTGACCAACGCCCCAGCAGTATTTATGCACTTAATGAATAGTGTATTTCAGCCCTATCTTGATTCTTTCGTCATTATATTTATTGACGATATTCTGGTGTATTCCCGGAGTCGGGAAGATCATGAACAGCACCTAAGGACTGTGCTTCAAACTTTGAGAGAAAAGAAGTTATATGCAAAATTTTCAAAGTGTGAATTCTGGCTTGATTCAGTGGGATTTTGGGTCATATAGTTTCGTGCGAGGCGATCAAGGTAGATCCGAAGAAAATTGAAGCAGTGCAGAGTTGGTCCAGACCGTCCTCAGCTACGGAAATTCGGAGTTTCCTTGGTTTGGCAGGGTATTATCGTCGATTTGTAAAGGATTTCTCTTCTATTGCTGCATTTATGACCAAATTGACCCATGAGGGTGCTCCGTTCAGGTGGACCGAAGAATGTGAGAAGAGCTTCCAAAAGCTCAAGACAACTTTGACTACATCCCCAGTATTGGTATTACCTACAGGTTCAGGGGCTTATATTGTGTATTCTGATGCATCGCGTATTGGTCTCGGCGTAGTGTTGATGCAAGACGGTAGGGTGATTGCCTACGCGTCCAGACAGTTAAAGGTGCATGAGAAGAATTATCCTGTACATGACCTTGAGTTAGCAGCTATTGTTCATGCCTTGAAGATTTGGCGGCATTATTTGTATGGTGTCCAGTGCGAGGTCTACACTGATCACCGAAGTCGACAGCATCTGTTTAAACAGAAAGATCTTCATTTGCGGCAGCGGAGGTGGTTGGAGTTGCTTAAGGATTATGATATCACCATTCTCTATCATCCTGGGAAGGCCAATGTAGTGGCCGATGCCTTGAGTCGTAAGGCAGAGAGTTTGGGGAGCTTAGCATATTTACCGATAGCAGAGAGACCTTTAGCCTTGGATGTTCAGGCCTTGGCCAACCAGTTTGTCAGATTGGATGTTTTCGAGCCGAGTTGAGTTTTGGCTTGCGTGAATCGATTCTCCAGGAGGCTCACAGTTCGCGGTACTCCATTCATCCAGGTGTTGCAAAGATGTATCAGGACTTGAGACAGCACTATTGGTAGAGACATATAAAGAAAGACATAGTGGAGTATGTAGCTCGGTGTCTAAATTGTCAACAGGTGAAATATGAGCATCAGCGACCGGGTGGATTACTTCAGAAGTAGAGATTCCAGAATGAAAATGGGAGAGGATCACTATGGATTTCGTTGTTGGGCTCCCACGGACTAAGAGGAAGTTCGATGCAGCTTGGGTGATTGTGGATAGATTGACCAAGTAAGCTCATTTCATTCATGTGGTTAGTACTTACTCTTCGGAGCAACTAGCTCAGGTCTATATTCGCGAGATTATCAGACTCCATGGCGTACCGGTATCTATCATCTCTGACCGGGGTACGTAGTTTATATCACGGTTCTGGAGGGCAGTACAGCGTGAGTTGGGTACTCGGGTAGAGTTGAGTACAGCATTTCACCCTCAGACGGAGGGGCAGTCCGAATGCATTATTCAGATACTGGAAGATATGCTTCGTGCGTGTGTGATAGATTTTGGGGGTGCTAGGGATCAGTTCTTACCACTTGTGGAGTTTGCTTACAACAACAATTATCAGTCAAGCATTCAGGTGGCTCCGTATGAGGCCTTGTATGGTAGGCGGTGCCGGTCCCCAGTGGGTTGGTTCAAACCGGGCGAGACTAGGCTATTGGGTACAGACTTGGTTTAGGATGCCTTGGAAAAGGTTAAGTTGATTCAGGATCAACTTCTTACAACTCAATCTAGACAGAAGAGTTATGCGGATCGGAAGGTTTGTGATGTTGCATTCATGGTTGGTGAGCGAGTATTGCTCCGGGTTTCGCCTATGAAGGGTGTGATGAGGTTCGGGAAGAAGGGCAAGTTGAGCCCTAGGTATATTGGGCCTTTTGAGATTCTTGAGAGAGTTGGAGAAGTGGCTAACAAACTTGCACTACCACCTAGTCTCTCTGCGGTTCATCCAGTATTCCATGTTTCCATGCTTCAGAAATATCACAGCGACCCGTCTCATGTGTTAGACTTCAGTTCAGTTTTGTTGGACAAGGATCTATCTTATGTTGAGGAACTAGTGGCTATATTGGATAGGCAGGTTCGAAAGCTGAGGTCAAAGAACATTGCTTCCGTGAAGGGGTCATCCAGTCGAAGAGGCGACTTGGGAGACCGAGCATGATATGTGCAGCTGTTATCCACACCTATTCACCAACTCAGGTACTTTTTCTAACTCCGTTTGAGGACGAACGTTTGTTTTAGAGGTGGAGAATGTGATGACCCAAAATGTCATCTTTAAATTTAATAATTAATTTTATATTCTAAGACCTCGAAAAATATTATTTATCATTCCTCGACTTGCGTGCATAATCCGTAAAAAAATTTGAAAAGTTTTTATGTGAAAAAAATGAATTAAAATGTGAATTAGAGCTTTAAAACTCAATTGAGTTGACTTTGGTCAACATTTTGAGCAAACGGACTCGGATCAGTGTTTTGACAGTTTTAGTAGGTCCGTATCGTGATTTGGGATTTGAACGTATGCCTGGGATCAAATTCCTAGGTCCCTAACCCGAGATATAAAATTTTGATGAAAAATTAAAAGTTTAAGTTCAAATAGTGATCGGATGTCGAATTATGTGCAAACGACTCCGGAATAGAATTTTGATGATTCCAAAATATGGTAACTTTGGACCTAGGAGCGTGATCGGAATTTTATTTGGAAGTCTGTAGTGAAATTAGGCTTGAAATGGCTAAAATAGGAATTTAAGTTTGGATGTTTGACCGGGGAATTGACTTTTTGATATCGGGGTCGAAATCCAGTTCTGAAAATTTTCACAGCTCTGTTATGTCATTTATGACTTGTGTGCAAAATTTGAGATCAATCGGACTTGATTTGATATGTTTCGACATCGAATGTAGAAGTTGGAAATTCTTGAGTTTCATTAAGCTTGAATTGGGGTGTGATTTGTGATTTTAGCGTTGTTTGATTTGATTTGAGGTTTCAAATAAGTTTGTATTATGTTTTAGGACTTGTTGGTGTATTGGGTTGAGGTCCCGAGGGCCTCGGGTGAGTTTCGGATGGTTAACGGATCAAAAGTGGAACTTAGCTGCTGCAAAAGCTATTGCAATTTTTCTGTTGGAAATGCTGTCAAAATCGGGCTCCCTGTCAAAACCGGGCTCCCAGTCAAAACCAGGCTCCCTGTCAAAATCGGGCTCCCTGACATATCTGTAAGTTATAAAAACAAGGGACTTCGTCCCATTTGCCATTTTTGACGAATTGGAGCTTGAGCAGAGGCGATTTTGATATATTTTCAAGGAAAAATATTAGGGTAAGTGATTTTAACTTGGATTTGGTCAATAAACACGAATATATCATTATTTTCACCATTTAATTAGTGTTTTGAGATAGAAATTTGGGAAAATTTTAGAAATCTCATAGAAACGAATTTTCGATATTTCGGTGTCGATTCGGGATCGGATTTGAGTGAAACTAGTATGGTTGGACTCGTAATTGATGGGTTGTCGGATTTTGTAAGTTTCGCCGAATTCCGAGACATGGACCCCACAGACAATTTTTGAGCTAATTTCGGATTTTATTGAAAATTGTAATATTTTCTTATGAAATTGATTCCTATATTTTTTGTTGATTGTATCGAATTAATTATGACTAGATACGAGTCGATCGAAGTCGGAAAATCGAGGAAAAAGCATAATACTTGGTTAAATTGGAGCAAGTCGAGGTAAGTGGCTTGTCTAACCTTATGTGAGGGAAATTTCTCCTAGGATTAGTTTTGATGTGATTATTAAAATGTGTTGAAAGTCGTGTACACGAGGTGACGAGTGTGTACACGGGCTAAATATGAAAGATTATATTTTTAAATTGTGTAGATCACTATTGCGCATTTATTAAATTATTTTATCTTGTTATATTCTTCATCATTGATCTAAAATATATACCTTAAATTTATTTGACATGTTCCTGCTAATTATTTTACCTGTTTAGTTGAAACTTGATTTCTTTTAATCTGTACATTATTTGAAGGCTGATTTTCTTTAAATTAAATATTATTAATATGAAGTATTTGACATTTTTAAATTTGATATTGAAGCAACGTATTAAAGATTTTGAAATATTATTTTTCTGAATTATTTATTCCGAATATTTTTGTAAGATTTTCGTACTCATTGTGATGGAGCCGTGAACTCTTTATTATGGAAAAATATTGTTGTTGAATTATTTTGGCAAGTTAAATTATTTGCGCACTTGAGGTGCAAATTGTAATTTATTGTGATATTGATACGCATGCGGTGGTATAAGGTCTGGGTATTGAAACGCATGCGGTGAGATAAGGGTGGGTTGATACGTGTGGCTAGTAGGGGGAACTACTAGAAGTCATGCGGTGTGATAAGGATGGCTAAAACGCGGGATGCTATTTCGGGAAAAAAATATTTTCTTTAAAATAAATTGTGAAGAAAATGAGATATTGTGAATTTATTTATAATTTGGGACTACGAGGCGGTACCTCGGGAGTGCCCTTGTTGATATTGATTTATGGCCGCAGTTGCCTTTGATTATTTGTTGTGATTTACTTGAAGTTGAAAGGAAATTTTGTTTTGTTTCCATGAGATATTAATTGCCATTATTTGATGTAATTAAATGTGACATACTACTTAATTCATTTCCATTGTCATTTTATCTTATTATATTGTTTAAACATTTTACCATGTCATTATTTATTCTCCAGTAGGACCTGACCTGACCTCGTCACTACTCTACCGAGGTTAGACTTGGCACTTATTGGGTACCGCTGTGGTGTACTCATACTACGCTACTGCACATCTTTTTGTGCAGATCCAGGTACACCTTATCAGACCAGGCATCGGTAAACTAACTGTACGAGGAGACTTCGAGAAATATCTGCCAGTGTCCGCAGACTCTGGAGTCCCCTTCTATCTTACTATGTTGTCTTCCTTATTTGTTTGACTCTGATGTATAGAGACATGGAGAATAAATTCTTAGAAGCTTATGACTTATTTTTACCGGGTTTTGGGAGTTAAAATTGATTGAATTGTAGTTTATTTATTTCAGATATTTATTATTATTCTGCATTAATAGGCTTACCTAGTCTTAGAGACTAGGTGCCATCACGACCTCCTACGGATGGAATTTGGAGCTGTGACAGAAAGTTATTTTTTGTTACAGCTTTCAGGTTTGTATGCATAAGTGAAAACAAAGAGAAATAGTGGAGAAACAAAATATGTTTATAAATCATGATGTATAATATGATAAAATACCTATGTGAGGGAAGACCATGGGGTGTTAAAGTGCTTAGATATTCTTCGTGATAATAGTTATTGGTGTCATCTTCTGTAGAGTCAACTAATAAATGTTTTGCTTTTACCTGGGACCATAGCTATCAACCTCTCATTTAGCTTGTCAACATGCATATTTCTGCTTGCTAAGATAGCCCTCCCTGTTACATATTTTGCAGAGTTAGCATTCTCTGGTTATAATTGGAGTAATTTGCAATTTAACCTTCAACTTACTCTACTCATCCTTTATTCTGACCTAAAACTCACAAAATTGCATTAGAATATTTTTGTTCCTATTTATTTATACATTATAGAGAAAATGTCCATAACTCTGTATTTGTTTTATAATACTTTAGTTTGTAATCCAATTGAACAACCTGCTTAGTTTTCGAAGCACCTCGTTTGGAAATTCACAATATTGCTGCCTGCATTCACGCTTTGTTCTTTTGGTGACGTAGGAGAAGAGAAAGCTATATATATGAGGAACAATAACCAAAATAAAGATTTTGGACTTGTTTATAATGATCAAATTATATCTAGTCTTATTTCCACCTTTCTAGTCATTCTTGAAACAATTTAAAACTTTAAATTGTCCAATTTAAATCGTCTGTCTCTATCACTTGTAGTTATTAGTCATTCATTAATAAAGAATCCATTGATATTAATCTAATCCAATTAAAATGCACCAATTGAACGCTCGAAGAAATACATCCTCTCTAAACACCAAATCACTATAATCAATAACTGGTGGGGAATGTTAGTCCGGCTAACGCTTGAGGCATAAACTGTTTTGGACAAGAAAAAATAGACCAAGTTACTCTTTTCCTATTCTGTAACTTAGACGCTACTCTTTATGTTTATTAATTTGCAAAGTCAGGAAATAAATGAAAAAAATACAAATCATCCTGTAAGCTTTGACAATAAAATCAAAGTTCATATCATACGGGAAGAAGTGCACTAATTTCTCATACCGTGTAGAGACATTATTCAAAATTGACAATGGAATCCCTAAAGGAGATCCAAGCGAGTTCTCTATTGAGACATCACAAAAGTGACAAACTTGCGAAAGCAAATAACACTAAAATGCAATAATATTATAGCGTTACTACTTACTACCATGATCACTTCCACACCGCCGTATGCAACAACAGCCCCATCACAGCTATGAGGACTCGATTTTCTTCATCATATTAGTATGGGAGAGGAAAAAGAAAAAGCAACTCTGTACATCTTACACCTTCCTTCCAAGTCACTGGTTCTTGAAAGACTGCAGAAAAAAATATCAGTCAGTAAACCAATTTATTAGTTCGGCGCTTATTATAATTACATTTAAATGTTTCACAGTCAAAACCTCGGAGTTTTTGGACACATCCTTGATCAGGTCAGTAACTTCTCTCTTCTTTTGCTCAGCTGCAAATGTACCAAAACATATGCTCAGAACAGCCTGAAAACTTGAATAAAATGAGGACGAGATGGTATATTAGTTACCCATTTTAGATAGATCCTCCATTCTCCTCGAGGTCCTTACTGCAAATCTTTGGAAACCAGGGCTGAGGTGAAAAGAAAGAGGCAGTTTAGTGGGCATCTTCTGATGACCATTACAGCATAATATCTCAAGTCTGATACTACTGAAAGAGACATAGTAAATGGTATCCAGAAAAATAAAAACATTAGATTCCCCACGGGACCAGAAAGATATGTTTCCTCTCGACATAGGAACATTTTCTCCATTTACCCAGAGACATAGGCACATGAAGGTTTTTTTTTTTTTTTGAGAGGTCAGTCACATGAAGAAGTAATTCCAAACTCTCCTACAAAATTAACTCCTGGCACACAACATCATTTTAAGTTTAATCTTGTCTACAATTTTATACAACAACAACAACAACCCAGTTAAATCCCACAAGTGGGGTCTGGGGAGGGTAGAGTGTACGCAGAAGACCTTACCCCTACCCCGAAGGGGTAGAGAGGCTGTTTCCAAAAGACCCTCAGCTCAAGAAGAAGAAAATAAACAATAGACAATAGATCAGTGACAGCAACAGAAGCCAAAAAAATAATATCAGCGTCGTAAGAAATAGAAAATAAATGTACAAGCAATATCAATAACCAGTAATAATGCCATAGAAAATAGTGTGGAAACTACATAACCACTAACAACCCAAGGCGAAACATTATCAGCCTAGCCTAGCCCCGCCCCCAGAACAACTTAGAAAAACGCTCGACTCCCTCCTAACCTATAAACCTAATGCTCGACCTCCACACCTTCCTATCCAGAGCCATATCCTCGGAGATCTGAAGTCACGCCATGTCCTGCTTAATCACCTCACCCCAATACTTCTTAGACCGCCATCTATCTCTCCTCAAACATGCCATTATCAATTGCTCACACCTCCTAACCGGGGAATCTATGCTTCTCCTCCGCACGTGCCCGAACCATCTAAGTCTTGCTTCCCGCATCTTGTCGTCCATGGGAGCCACGCCCACCTTCTCCCGAATATCTTCATTCATAATCTTATCCAACCTAGTGTGCCCGGCACATCCATTTCAACATCCTCATTCCTGCCACTTTCAACTTCTGGATATGAGAATTCTTGGTTGCCCAACACCCAGCCTCATACAACATGGCCGGTCTAACCACCGCTCTATAGAACTTGCCTTTAAATTTCAGTGGCACTTGTCTACAATTTTATACGACTAGAATGTCTACAAGAAGTAGCCAGCAACAGCAGCGAGAATAGGTAATACTTGTAAACATGATTCATCCATTGAAATTATCACTTGTCTACAAAGCTACAATAGTAACGCAACAATAAGTTTATACATTCTTAATGCTTTGTGTAATTATAGCTGCACAACTTTTTTTTCTCTATTATTATTTGTTTGAAATCGCATATAAGCCAGAAAGATTTTCCTCATCCCATTCACTCACTGCAGTATAAGAATCTAAGATGTGACAAACAAAAAGGAACACACAACTCACTTTGAGGGAAGCTCTAGCAAGCACAACACAACAATCTTAGCAACAAATGAATAGTTCAGAAAATTTTCTTTCTCAAATAAAGCAAAGATAAAATAGAGATAAGAAGATAATTCAAGCAGCCTCGGTCGATTGCATATGTTGATGTCAAATTTCCATCATCTTCACACAAGCCTACAGAGTCATCATTGTCAAGCTTCTACTTCATATTGAAGACGAAAAGTACAAAAACAACCATTAACCCTTGCTCATGAAACATTGATTGCTTGTTGTACCGTGTAAATTGTGTGAAAGTAGGATACTCCAAATTCAGAGGTCAGAAAACGTCTTGGTGGAAAAAAAAACGTGAATGAAGGATCCCACTAAATTGAGTTTGGTCCGTGAATCTAAGAATTGGCGAGAATTATTGATCTCTCACAATTCAAAAATCTAGGATTTGTACTGATGACCTGTCATTGATTCCTCCAAATTGCATTAATTTATCCTAAAGACTTGCTGAAGGGTTAAAACCGACCAACCCATAATTGGCGAACACATACATAGTAAACATAAATTATGTAAAATCATTCACAACCCAATAAAGTAAGTTTCATTTTTCCTATAAATTAAGTTTCCTAGGCCGATATGTTTCAAGTCCAAACTAATTAAGGTCAGCTATATGAATGTATGAATCTTTTTTATACTGTATCCGTTCCATTCTATTCGAACAAATGTCATTACAGCACTAAAAGATTTGTCCTTTTAAGGCAACCAAAGATAAATAAATAAGATAAGAATATAAACCAAAAGTAAATAATAAATTAGATTAATTACCTGTTGGCGAGTCCATTGACGATCAATTCGTTGGCTACATAAGAAATAACCCTATGAATAAAGTTTCCTCCTCCAGCCATGGCTGATTGCTACAACTTCTATACGAATAAGAACAGGAATAAAATAAATAAAGAACAATCGAAAGATATGAATTTTACGTTTTTCTTCTGATTTAGTAACTTCACAGACCGAATATCAGATTTCGACAAGCAAAGTAAACGTAAGTGAATGAATGGACGAGGTACGATGAGATTGTTACCTTGGGAAATAAGGAATCAGCTAAATTAGGATCTCAAGTTCCCGAAGATTCGAGATATCTCGGGACTTTTAACTTCGGAAACAGGAGAGGAGATGAACTCTTTTCGGTTGGGGGACAATGCATTCATAAGGCTTTTTATGAGGGGTGGGAAGCCCAATTTTAATGGGCTATCAGATATGGGCTTGGAGTCTTAATCCACTTGTTTTCCTTATTTGTTTTAGAGAATTTTTCTTTCTAATACACTATGAAATCTTATTATCAAAATTGTTCCAATTTTAAAAATTATCCGTCCTAAATAAGGTTTACTTATAATTTATATACAATTCATTATTAGTGTTTTAAATTATGGAATTAAGTTATACCTTTTTTTTTTCTCTCCTCTGATCTTTCAATAAGATTCCTTCCAACTCTGGATTACCTATTTTAAGCTAAACACAAACTCGTCCAAAAACATATCAAACTTGCTCCAGTCATAACTTCTTAGCTGTGTATGTTCTTCTTTATCTATTTAGCACACCGTTTTCTTGATTCACTAACGTATTAGCACAGCAATTCTGTTGAGATTTGGGAACACAAAAAAAACTTTCGAATTCAAGTATGTACTATACCGTTTTCATTATATAAAACGATTAGCAATTGGTTTTCATTGTTCAACTTCTTTGTTTTAGTCAGATATGCTATTCGATAGGTTATTAATCAATTGATTGTCAGAAAAAAAATAATGTATGGTACAACAACATACAAATTAAAAATAAATTTTGTACAAATTTGATATAAATTTGATACATCTACAATAGCATATAAACTAAAAAAAATTATACAACTTATTTATAACTTATGTACAACTTTCATACATACTAAAAATAAATTTCATACAACTAATTATATAGTACACACTTATTTACATCTTATCTACAACTTTCATACATTATTTTTACCAGTTAAAATACATCTACAACATCATACAACGTAAATACAATTTTCATACAAATTTTATACAATGTCTTTTGTATATATTTCGTATATGGTGTGTGATTCTTGCTCTCTAAAATTCTAATCAAAACATTCTCTCTTAATACAATTTTGATACGTATCAAGAATTTTATGTAAAAAGATAGTATTGATAACTTAAATATAAATTTTATACAACGATTCATACATTATACAACTATTTTTCAACTTTCGTACAACACTCAAATAAAAAAATATACGTACCTACAACAGAATACAATTTACATACAATTATAATACAGATTTACTACAATTTTGTAAGTATATTGTATGTCATGTGTTCTTCTTCTTCTTCTTCGAGGAGTTTCAATTTGAAATTCAGCCAAAATCAAGTCTAATCTTCACCAAACACCCTCAAAATTGAGATATAAACTCCAAACAACATTTTCAATTATTTGCAACAACATCCAATCCAAACAAATAATGATTTTTGAAAACCCAAATTCAAATTCAAAGCTTCAAAGATTTTTAATGGTTGTCAATGGTAGAGAGTCAAACACCTTCAAATTTTATTGATTGACAATTTCAATTTGAACACCAATTGTGCAACATAAAAGAAAATTGCTAAGTTAAAACTCTATAGTAAAACCAGTATTTTAAAAGGCATTTTCTGGGTGAGGCGCACCAAAAACACCCCGAGGCGATGGTGTGGGGCGAAAGTCTCAAGAGGCATACGCCCAACAGTTCGGGGCGTGCTCGGGCATTCGGGGCATATGCCGGGGCGTTTGAGACATTTTTTTAGTGAGGCATAAGCCCCATAGACTTTTTCAAATTAAAATAAAATTTGTTTGAATAAGTCCTTCATATAATACCCAAATTTTTAAAAGTCGGCTTGGTAATTACTCAAAAGTTTTAAAAAGGAACTGAAATGTATTAAATTTAAAAGTCAAGACTTTTTTTATTGATTGAAGCCCTAATTTATGGCATTTTCCAATTCTTTATCTTGTCCGCTAGTCTGCTAATATCTCTCATAAGCAACAAATATTCAATGTTTTTTTACAAATACAAAGAGAAATCCATTCTCCTTCATAGCAGCAAGTTCAAAGTTCAAATTGCAAGTTAGTCGTCCCTTTTGTTCTTGCATGTAGAAAATTTTATTCTTTTAAACTCAAGTTACTTATGCTTGTAAGTAGCGTATAATAGATTGTTTTGACTAGTTTTTTGTGGGGATGGAGCATACTCTTCAATTTTTATGCAATTTTACCTGTTTATAAATATTTATTGTAATTATATTATTTTATAAAATATTAAAAATTAAATACCTATGGGGCTTACGCCCTGTTCCTCGGGGCTTACGCCTCGCTGATGCATATGTAAAATGATACGCCTTACGCCCACGCCTTTTAAAACACTGAGTAAAATGATTGAAATCTATTAATGAATTCCATTAAAAAAAATATATACAACGTGAAAGGATAAAAAGTAGAGAACATCAGAGAAAGAAAAATTGGGGAAAGAACAGAGAATGAGAGATAGAGAGACAGGGAGAGATGGAGAGAGAGAGAGAGAGAGAGAGAGAGAGAGAGAGAGAGAGAGAGAGAGAGAGAGAGAGAGAGAGAGCAGGAGATCGAGAAAAGAGATGAGAAATAACTTATTCCTTATTCAATTCCTAATATAAATGGATACTCATTTAAAACTAATTTGTATATAATTGATAAATTGTATGTGGTCATGTAATTAAGTTAAAACTTGATTAGGGGGATAATAAAGTTTCATATGTAGTATAGGAAGGTAAAAGCCCGAGAGATTGGAGAGATTTATGACTGAGTGAGGTCGAGGGCCTGATTGTGAGATATTTAAACTATAGCACGTGAGTTGTCCGTGCAGCACGTGAGTTTTTCGTGCAGATCCAGATATTATACCATAGCACGTGAGATGTCCGTGCAGCATGTGAGTTGTCCGTGCAGATCCATATATTATACTAGTATATGAGTTGTCTGTGCAGCACGTAAGTTATCCGTGCAGCACGTGAGTTGTCCGTGCAGATCCAGATATTATACTATAGTACGTGAGATGTCCGTGCAGCACGTGAGTTGTTCGTGCGGATCCATATATTATACTAGCACGTGGGTTGTCCGTGTAGTACGTGAGTTGTCCGTGCGGATTATAGCGCTTGGGCTGAAGGAGCCCCTAAGGAGTCTGTACACAACCCCAGTGAGCGCATGTACCTACTGAGTGCGAGTGCTGAGTGTTGAGTGAGTGGGAGGACTGAGTGACTGTTGCTCTGAGAGGATGCATTGATTTCATTATTGTTATACTACAATTATCATATATCCCTGTTTTGAAAAAATTTCTGAAAGATATTATCTCCTGTTTCAGTCAAACCTGATATGAGATTACTGTTTGGGCATTAATTGTTGAACTTGCAAGCATGTATACTTTCTTATATTGGAAATTACTGTAATTGATCTTAGCTTAGAAACTCGTGACTACTTTTACTTCTTTATTTAGTATTGTTACTTGGTGAGTTGGTTGTACTCATACTACACCCTGCATCTCGTGTGCAGATCCAAATACTTTCGGACACGGTTGTTGCTAGTTGTCGGAGTTTTATCTGTTGGAGATTATCGAGGTAGCTGCTTGACGTCCGCAGACCTTGACTCTCTTCCCTTTCAGTTTTTGTACTGTTCTAAATTTTTAGACAATGTTTTTAGCAATCAGACTTTGTTATCATTTAGATGCTCATGTACTCAGTGCCACCGGGTTTTGGGAGTGTATTTATATCCAGTATTTGTGGGATTTTCTCTTAAATTTAATTATTATATTTTCAATATTTAAAAGAAATTATAGGTTATTGATATTGTTGGCTTGCCTAGTATTGAGATAGGCACCATCACGGCAGGTGTGATTTTTGGGTCGTGACATGTAGCCATTGATCAATATTATACGTGAAATCGCTAAAAATAGTTAATATTATTGACCAAGAATAATAAGAGAATAGAAATAACTTTTCGAATAAATACTCTGACGTGGCAAGCCACTGCCTTTAAAGCGATTTCAGTCCGACTGGGTGCAAATCATTAAGATCGGTCGCTCCCCAAGGTTCCACAGTACTTCCAAACACGTGCACTCGTGGCTGGAAGTTTGGAGTTTGCAAAAAATAATTGCCGAGAAAAAATAAGAAGAATAGTCTTTTGAAAGGATGAGAGAATAATGTTTTTGGTTGGTTATTTAGTTCACAAATGATGATTCTTATATAGGCAAATCATCTACGGTTTCTTCCATCAGAAATGTAAGAATCAAATGGGAGTTAATATTATTCTTGTCTTAGTGACAAAACTGTCATAAAAACACTAATTTCAAACTTTCTGAAAAGCTAATATCTTTTTACAAGCGAAGTCACAAAAATTAAGAAGCCGTCATATGAATGAATGTGAACCATTTATGAAGTAGTAACTTCATTCTCCCACTCTGTATATACATATAATCTAGATATGTTACAAAAATTAATGATGGAGAGGTATGAGAATTAACCATATACTAATTGTGGACTAGAAGTTCTTTATTATTTGCATTGTCAAATTAGAGTATAACACGTAAAGAGGAATAATACCAACAGAATTCACTTGCCGCAATGGAAACTTTTAGTTTAGTGGTGAATGGTTGCCCAAAAAATGATTTAAGTTTCATGTTCAAATTCCAAATGTGGAACTAGGGTTGTACATAGGTCGGGTTGGTTCGAGTTTTATAATTACCAAACCAAACCAAACCAAACCAATTGTGCTGAATTATTAAATCTAAAGACCAAACCAAGCTAATAAAACTCAAATTTTTCAATCTCGATTTTTCTCAAATTTTCAGATTTTTTCGGGGTTTTTTTCGGTGATATCTTCGTAGCACAAAACATATAACTTGTGCTTCAAATATTTCTTTAATCCTAGTAAGATACAACTACATAAGGTTTTCCAAGAAAATAATACAAAATATGAGATGTGTCATGGCATTATCCTAAAATATTCAACAATAAAATCACGTAATATAAATATTGCTAATTAAAAATCCATAATAAAAATAAAAATAATCTAAAAGTACTATGTCATTCTAAAATAAGTAGACTACTAAGGAAATATTAATTTCGTGACTAAACGCCGAAGAAAAA